AGAGGGCACCCCTGGGTGATGGCTCTCTTTAATCAGACACCCAGGCCCTGACATAAAAAGATTTGGCCCCATGAAACCCAAACCCTCTGGTTCCCCGTGGGCTCCAGGGCCTGTTCTTGGGAAGGGGTCGCGGGCATTGAGGGCAGAGCGGCGACTCCGCGGGTCCCAGGAGGGGAGAGCGCGGGGCGCGCGCGGGGGACCCAGCCGGGCCGGCCTCACGCCCTCTCCGCGCCCCGCAGCCCAGGCGCAGTCGAACCTGCTGGGGAAGTGCCGCCGGCCGCGCACCGCCTTCACCAGCCAGCAGCTGCTGGAGCTGGAGCACCAGTTCAAGCTCAACAAGTACCTGTCTCGGCCCAAGCGCTTCGAGGTGGCCACCTCGCTGATGCTCACGGAGACCCAGGTGAGCTGCCGCCTCGCCCAGCCAGCCCCGGGGTCACCGTCCCCTCTGCGCTCCCGGCCCTCCGCCCTGAGCCCCGGGGTGCTCCTTCTCCGCCGTCTTTGCCTGCTGATCAGCACCGAGGAGCGTTCACGGCCCCCGCCCCAGGGGTCAGATTCAGTAGGTTGCGGTGAGGCCCACGAACCTGCGTTTTAACGAACCCTTCCGCGCGCCCCCCCCATTCTGAAGCAGGTGGCCCCCCAGGCCATATCCCAGAAATTTTGTTCCAGAAAGAGAGGAGGGAACATCTCGAGATCCACAGCCACACCCGAGCCGCCCTGGTCCTTCCCGCGCGGAGGCAGGGCGCGGGTGGAAAAAGGCCGGGCGCGCGCTCCCAGTCCCAGCTTCCCCGGAGCCCCCGCCCAGCTCCTGGCCTGGGCGCAGCGCCCCTGGAGCTTGTCCTTGGATCTGAGCCCCACTCGGGGTGGGCAGGGGGGACGGAAGGGTCCGGAGGTGGCCGTGTCTGACGACCCCCCCCCCGTGCCCTCAGGTGAAGATCTGGTTCCAGAACCGGCGGATGAAATGGAAACGCAGCAAAAAAGCCAAAGAGCAGGCGGCGCAGGAGGCGGAGAAGCAGCGGGGCGGCGGGGGCGCGGGCCGAGGCGGCGCGGAGGACACGNTCCCCGCCCCCGAGGCCCGGGCACCAGCCGCCCCAGTAGGACCCGGGCCACCGACAGGGACGCAGGGACCCCTGGACGCCTCTGCCCCGCGCGCCCTCCGCAGCCTCCACCCCCGGGCCTCGGGTCCCACCCCAGCCCTGGGGCTGCAGGTTTGGGCCGCTGCACCTGCCTGAGCTTCTGGGCCAGAGGGACGGAGGCCCGGCGGGCTCCAGCTTGGACTCTTCTTAGAGATTTAATTTCCGACAGTCTTGGCGGGGGCGGTGATGGTGAGAAGAGCCGCCGCCGCCCGGGGAGCCTCCCCAGCGCCCCTTCCCGTTTGGAGGAACCTGCAGTGTTAACCCACCTGGAAACTTGAAACCGGCTCTGGAAGCGCCGTTCTGCTGAGTCTCGCGAGGAAAGAAAAAAGAAAAGTGTGCTTATGTATCTTAGGGGGGGAAAGAATTTATGTCACGAGCGTTCAGACTGCTGGAAACCTCAGAACTGTGCCGTCTTTATTTTTGTACATTGTATTTATATATAAAAAGGAGCGTCTACTTATGCATGCTAAATTATTATTTAGCTTCTCCCATCGCCCGCGATGGAATGTAAAATAAACCGTTTTTTTTTTACTGGAGGACCGTGCAAATGTCCTGGGGGGAGTTAGGAAAGCGGCTGCGCACTTTTTTGTTGTTGAAACATTGGGGAGGGGGTCTCCCCCTCCCGAAGCAATTCACAGCAGGAGGTGAGAATCCGAACTGCAACCGGGTGTGAGGACCGCCTTCCCGAACCGAGCCCCGAGCGGGGAACTGGATTCCGCTGCTGGGCGGACGCAGGTGCGAAGTGTTGGGAAAAGCACCTGAGGCCAGGTGCGCGCGCGCGTCCGGGCGCCTGGCTCGCAGCTGTTCCGGATGCCGGGCCCCAGGCGAGGGACCCTGGGTCCCGGTGTTTATTTTCCCGTTTCCTTGGGGGGGGGGGTCACCTTGCTCCGTTGCTGCTCCAGAGGTGAAAACACTGACGGTTTCAGAAAATGAGCTTCAACCGGCTGCAGTGGGTCGGTGCGTCCAGGGCGCGGCGCTTCCCGCGTCTGGCGCAGCAGCTCCCTGGTCCTGTTTTCTAGGATCTGCGCAAAGATCCGAGAGGACAGCGGAGGCGACAGCTCTGGGTTCATAAACCGCGGCCGCGCGCTCCATCAATCACCCGCCAGCCTGCCTGGCCCGCGCCATGTGCTGCACACATGCGGGCCTCGCGCGCTCCCGCCCAGCCGGCCTCTCCGGGCCCCGGAGGAAATCGGTGCTGGGGCCACTGCTCTTTCTCCCACCGCCCTTCCGCCTTATGTTTTCCAGTCTCTCC